CCAGCTATGAAATCTCAATCAAGAATCAATCAAATCAATTTTTCATCTTTGAATCAATAGTTGACTTACAAAAATAAAAACTAAAACAAGTTTTCAGATCTTTTAGTAACCTTCCATAAAAAGCTAGCCAGCTGCACATCTATTTTCAAATACAATCAACCAGCCAAACATTTTTAAAATAATGCCAATCAAATATGATTAGAATCAATACACAAATTGGAAAATAAATCCCAACAATCTCCGGAAATAAATCATAACAATTTGTTAGCAATAACAATCATTGAAAAAAAAAAAGGAAATGGCGAATAAGGGTCGAACAGAAAGAATTTGAGATGGTAATGTTGATTGGCAAGGATTTTGATCCGTCAATAATTGATCGTGAAGACGAGTAAAAAATGAATTGTTTTCATAATCCATAACTATTTGAGAAAAAAGAATAACACACAACATAACAGTAAAGAAGAAAAAGAGAGATGGATAGTGTTATTGAAGGAGACAAAAAATGAGTGAGAAAATAAATATAAGAAAATGAATGAGAAATACAAAATACATGGAACTCATCACTATTAATCAAAGAAGACAAAAATGATTGTTGCATATTTCAAGATGATTAACTGATATAATTTTGAGAATAATAAAAAAAAAACCATGGAGAATGCATTTATTACGTTGCGAAAAAAATAAAACAATAAAAAATTAAATGACCAACCTCTTAATGCTAGTTATATTTAATTAATGCGAAATGTATTTTTTAAAATAGTTAACTATTTATCTAATAAATGAAGTGAAAAAAAGTAAAAAAAAGAAGTTAAATTATTGATCATTTTAATTAAAAATATGAAATTATTAGCATGTTTGGAGTTGCCCAATAATAACGGTTAACATACATCCACTGCTATGCAATATTAACCAAATCTTACAAAAAGTTTGGCGCTTAATTCTTATCGCTGGAATTTTAATAGGAAAAGGACAATTTAGTAGATTTGCTTCCTCTATGTTGTTGGCAAAGTTTCCATCTCATAATCCACCCTCTTATCTTATGGAACAATAAACTACTGTGGCACTCACATTCTGGTTTTTTTTATCCATTTTCCATTTTCATCAAACTTCCTTACTATAAAACATCTTAACTTATCAATTTCCATTCTAAAATCTGTCTGATGTTTTCTTTCCTATGTACAACACATTAAAACCCGGCTATTTTAAATGGTTTTAATATATATATATATATATATATATATCAGTTTTTGCTTAGTGAACAATCTATTTTCAGACAAAATTAGTACGTGACAATTAATAATAAATCGTTTAGGGGTTGTTCTTTTTGCATTTTTAAGTTAGGGTAATTTGAGTGACAATTTTGAATTGAGTTTGAGTTATAACTTGAGTTAAAGTTGTAATTTGAGTTTGTGCTTGAATGTGCACATTTGAGTTATGATTTGAATTGAGAATCTTTTTGAGTTTGTGTTTGGGTGGGTCAACATTTAAATTTATATTTATATAGTATTTTAATAAAAACTCAATGGTGATGAAAAATTTTAATATGGTATATAGACAGGGTTTTATTCGTCTCTTCGTTGTGAATGCATAGAAAAAAAAATCATCTCAATCAGAATTAAAACGAAAAAGTTATGACATTTTTAAGAATAGAAAAAATACTATTATTTAACTTGAGAAACTTGAACTCGAGTTTAGCCCCAAACTCGAGTTTAAACTCGAGTCAAACTCGAATTCAAACTCAAATTTTACAAAAAAATATGAACTTAAATAAAATTATAACTTGAGTTTAAATTTTTTTTGAATTTTGTTGCAAAATAACAACCCCTTATGTGCACCAAAAGCTTAATGGATCAACATATTTGCATTATTTGATTGGATTGCAAATAATAATAAAACGTTTTCCTCTGTTCTTTTGTACTTTTCTTGATTTTATGAAATGAGACTATTTGATTGCATTGCAACTCACGGCACCATACGTTGTTTTACAACTCCTGCTGTTGTAGAATTTTCACAAAGAGTGTTAAGTTGTAAGGTCTAATTAATTATCTTGACGATTTATTATCTTATGTAGAGAATTTTGTTGGTCAATTGTGTAAAATTCGGTTGCGCTAGTTTTCATTATAAAAAGAGCGGTGTTGTTTTGAGGTTAATTCAAGAGGTAGAGAAAACCATAGAGAGTTGAAAGTTGTGAGATTTTTTCTCCTGTAACTTTTTTTTTTATTATAATAGAAAAAATTGCAGCAGAGGACGCAGTCTCACATTAAGACAAACCTTTATAAATTATGTGTCAATTTTACTTAATTTATTTTTCCTACATTTTATTGCTCCTGGTTACGTAGAATTAGGGCGTCTAATTCTTAAGAAAGAATTTTTTCTCACCACATCTTTCTGTATCGAGTTCATTTTTGAGCAATGTTATTGCTCAAATATTGCATCCCCTGTGAGTCATAAAATCCTGCATAGCGCTGTAAATTTAGACCGCTTGGTTGACGGTTCGAAGACCCGAATGGTGAAATCAAGTCGGATCAGGCTGGTTCGCTCTCTTTTCAGTCGGGCAAGCCTGACTCAAGTGAGAAAGAAGTTGACCCAGCCTAAATTGACAGCCAAGGGTCCTCACATTATGAACCATGGTCAGACCATTAATTATTTTTAAGATGAAATAGTCTTCCATATTAATGTTGTTCGAAACTTCGAATATATTCCCTGATTTACAGCTTGCCTATCCAGTTTTTAACTGATCAATATCAAATAAACTAAATCCACCAACATGGTCGGAGCAACAACTTGAAATACTAGCGTGGTATTGGGAAAACAATGAAGCTTGTTTTCTACAATGTAAAAGGTATATGAAAAGCTTAACAACTAGCTTCTTGCAATGAAAGGAACATGGTTCAGTTTTGGGCTTCACTCCGAAACTTATAGGGTAATATTTCCTTGCCCTCTCCTAAGCTTAACAACTAATATTTCCTTGCCCTCTCCTGTATCATAAATTTATAAAAGAGTTTTTTAGTAGACTAACATACTGTAAAATTAATTTTTTAATCGTTGAATCTGATCAAAATTAAATTAAAAATAACTTTCTGAATAAATAATGTATAATATATATTTAACGGTTAAAAAATACAGAGTTACTGATAATTCATTTTTAACGGTGCTATCAGGGAAGCTCTCAAATTTATAATTGAAAAACTTTTGTTGGGTCCTCAATCTTTTGCCTTCTCATGGAATTATATCAGAAAGAAACAAAAGGATACGTTCCCTCCCATGTCCTATCAATTTTAAGCTTCGAAAGCTCTTCAAGGAAAAAAGATAAATAGTGTCATTTCAAAATTCGTTTGGAAAGATATCAGAATTATTATTATTTTTTTTGGAAAATTATATAGAATGCACAAAATAATCTATTGTGGAAGGTAAGCCTCTTTTTTGTGGATGGTTACAATTTTTTTATTTTTTATTTTACTTATTGGGTTTCATCTGTTCAAAACAATTAAAAATAGAAAAAAAAAAGTCAGAAGTCAAATAGCGATAGTTCCAAAATGATAAAGAGTATGGTCTGGAAGTATTCGTATCTTTAACGTGCCGTCACTTCTGGCTATTTCTTCTTCACGTCCAACGTCCTTTGCGTCTCCCCATTGCCTTACGTGTACTAGATAACATAAACAAACACAAAAAATTTAGGACCGTTTGATTTATTGATTTGAAAAAAATTTAAATAAAAATTTAAATTTTATGAAAAAATACGAGTGAAAAAATTTCAACCGTAGTTTAAACTTATACAACCAAAGCATTACATGAGATCGATTTGATTGAGACAATAATCGATTGAATGGTACTTTAGGAATTAAAATATCCTTTGTGGCTTAGTGCTTGAAACGGCTGCTAAAGAATTTTTACAGCAATTTATTTTTTAGGTTCTGTTTATTTTATTGATTTGAGTTTAAAATTTAAGTTTTGTTACAGTAAAAAATTCTAAAAAATAATCACATTAACTTTTTTTTACTACAATAAAAAATTATCACATCAAATCACATCTCAACTCAAATCAACGAACTAAACAGACCCTTATTTTATATAAACTAATAAGTCCACGTAGCTAAAAAATAAAAGAGTTTTTATGATGAGACTTCTTTTAAAAATCTATTAGTAGAACATTTCATTTTAATTTAAATTAAATTTTTAACGGATAGATCTGTATAAATTTATATTAAAAATTTACAGATATAATTATTTATTTTGTAAATTTGATCGTTAAAAAATAATTCAATGATTAAAACAGAATGTTTAACGGTGAAATTTTTTAGGAGATATCACTATAGAAAAAACCATAAAATAAAAGGAAAAAAAAAAGAAAAATGAAGATGAAGAAAAAAGTACGCATTCGCATCGCATTTTATTCTTCCTTCTAAACGCACGCAAAGAGCTTTTCTTACCCCTTTTCTTTTTTGTTTTTTGGGCGCTGCTGGCTGCCTTTTTTTATTTTTATTTTCCAGAAAACGTGCTATTTCTTATTGCTTATTATAGAAGAAAAACTCAGTCTAACAATTTTCCCTTGAAAATAAAAATAACAATTCTCCAAAATGTATTGTTGAAATATTGTAACAATTATTAAAATAATTAATACATACTACATAATTCTGTAATATAAAACACGAATATCAATAACTAATTACTATTTCATTTTGTTATTTTATCCTTAATTTTTTGTTACTTTAAATTACTTTTTAAATATATACTTCACAAACATGTCATGTAATATAATTTCATTACTTCTGCAGTTCTGTTTTTTATTTTTTTAACGTGGTGTAATTTTTTTTTTTTTTAAAACTTCATAAAAGCCCAGAAATGCCGAGTAAACTGTAAACTCTCCTCCACTAGCCGACAAAAAACTGCAACCTGCAAAAACCGGTTCACGACCTTCATCAAAAGTTGCACGTTTCACCGGCACAGCCAGTTTCGTCATCCACAGTTTCTTTGTTAATCTTACCCGATGTTTCCCCGTACAATATAACAAAAAATAATGATAAAGTCCCACGAAAAAGATTTCTTTGCTCATTTCCTCTTCTACGCAACTCTCTTTTTTCCTCGCTTTCGATCGCCAATCGGTTCTCCAGATCTCGTCCCCTTCGTCTCGGTGAGTGATTTTCGCTATTACGATTGATTTTTCGTGTTCTTCAATCTGTTGTTTGCGATATACATGGCGATTTGGATATCCTTGCGTTTGATTGAGGTGTTTTGTGCGGGTTCTGATTGAATTTCTGGAGTTTTTCGATTGCGATTCGTTTTTTGTGGATGAAAGTTTTCCACAAAAAAAAAAAGTTCGCTTTTAGCGTGGATTTCGTTTTTGTAGGAAATTTGTGTCCGTTCCTTTTTCTTTTCTCTCTCGATGGTTTTGTTTATTGGAGTTTGTGATAGTTTGCGATGAAATAACGTTATGGATATATTTTGCAAATTTTATTCGTTATGTTGAATATTTAGGAATAAGCATCTGAAAATTGAGCTCTATGGCTTGGAGTTCTGGTTATATTATGGTTATGCAATTTTTTTTTTTTTTTTGGGTGCTCCAGAAGAAATTGTCTATGGCTTTAAAATTTTTGGAGTGGTTGAGATATTGTATTGCTTATATTTGAGAAGAAACAAAGGTTTTTATCAAAAGAGAAAGAGGGAGAGAACAGAGAAGAAGGACATGCAGTCCTCTAACAAGGAAAGATTAACATAAAAAAACGGAGATACTGCCAAAATACAATCAAACAGCAACTAGAAACTAGCCTAATGCCTAAAAAGAAAAGAAAGGAGCATCTCTGAATTATTCAGATAGAGAAGCCCAGATCGAATGTTTTTGATATATATTTATATATACACACACACACATATATACACATATATATATATATATATATATATTTAGTGTCTGATATATATATATATACACACACACACATATATACATATATATATATATATATATTTAGTGTCTGCTAAATAAAAAATAAAATTCATGGAGGCCCAAAACTGAATTCCGTTCCAAAGAAAAATCAATATCGAGATTGATCCTAACAACTCCGAGATGACAGACCTAATTGTCCAGAATAGCAAGTTTTATGCACTTCCAGAACCAGTTGCTTTGATAACGAGAATGTTTTATCAAATTAAGCATGATTTGGTTTGAAAAGTAATATTGGACATATTTCCACTCTTAAGGATTTTATCTAATCAGCGAGGGCCTGCAGCAGCCTATCAGATAGCAGAGGGGACAGCATTTTGCTATGGCAGTGTGTGTTGGGGATATATGTGTTTATTTGCAGTCATCTCATGAATTTTTTATTTACTTATTATGCACCAGTGGAATGATCTCAACTCTTGGGGCTATACACACTTCTATTTGAGATCTTGTGTTTGGTTTGGCGTTTCTGTTTTATTTTACTATTATGTTTTATTTGGGGTAACAGTTTGTGAATGTGCAATTCAGAAAGCCGTTTAATCCTGTGAAGATGGCAAACAATGAGGAGGGAGAGGAAAACACTAATCGTGGGAATGAATGGGAAGTTGTTTCACTTACGGCATCAGCATATGCTGCTGCCCCTGGTCCAGAAGAAGTTGAATTGAATGATAATGACAAGGCTAATATGCCGGCAGAGGAAGCTGAAACTTCCCATGCCTTGTTCATGTCAGGTCATTTTGTCTTCCCACCAAGTCAGCATGAGAATTTGCCCTTGGAACCTAATAATAGCACGTTTCATAAAGACCATGGGGATAAAGATGTTGTAAATGAATTGGCTGTTGAAGAAGCGGGTAGATCTAGTGGAAAGGATGAAGAAAATTGGGAATTCAAAGGATTGGCTGTACCAGATGAGTTCCAGGGAATTCAGATTTTTGACGAGAAGGGTAATAGGCTAGCCTTTCGTGGTACAGATTTTGAAGAAGGTAGAAATCTTCAAGGTTTGCATCTGGTTGAAGAGCAGAATTTGTATAGTGCTGCTGCCAGGTATAATTCTTTCCAAAGTGAGACAGGTCTTAGTGGTTCAACCGCATTCGGAGAGGAGACAGCTGTTCCAGATTTCATAGAACCATTAGAGCAAGGATCAGATGCCGGGGACATCACACGTTCACCAAGGCCTTCGAAGGACGACAGACATGATGGTTCCAGGCTTCCATGTGGAGCATGGTGGAAAAGAGGAGCTGCTTCTTTATATTCTCAAGCAAAACAAGCAAATGCATTTTGGTCCATCTTCATTGCAGCAGCTGTTATGGGCCTGGTGATTCTTGGGCAGCAATGGCAGCAAGAAAGATGGCAAACTATGCAACTTAAGTGGCAGTTCCGCCTTAATAGTGAGGTCTGTTGATTGCTCTTCTTCTCTTTCAAATGCGCCTTTAATATATATATATATATATATATATATTAAAGGCGCGTTTGAAAGATATATATATATATATATATATATCTTTCAAACGCGCCTTTAATATATATATATATATATATATATATTAAAGGCGCATTTGAAAGATATATATATATATATATATATTGCTATGCTCGTTGGTTTCTTGATGCTTGTAGTTGTTTGTTAAGGTACCATGTATAGGAGTACATTTTTGTCACTTCTATGTAAATGAAAATTTTATTTTATTACTTGCCCTTTACTGTGATTATTGTTGGAGCAAGAATCTACACTAAAATTCTAGTAATGGAGCTATGATTTGGGAATTTTATATTCCAAGAGCGTTGAAGGAAACTGAATGCTAATAATGGCTTATCTTTGAGATATTTCGAATGCCACCTGCGTGATTTTTCTTTGATATATTATGTAATGTGCCATTATAGTTGCATATGTTTTTGCTGTTGAAACATCAGTGTGGTTTTCTCTTAAATTGTTCGCTAATGAATTTATGAATAATTCAGGTTGCCGGATTTATGTTTTCTTGCTAGACAGAAGCCAATACAATTTCCGGATCATCATTGTGTTGAAGTTGTATTATCAATCTTTTTTCCTTTTATTTCTGTGGTTATTTCAACCTGTAGAATGAAGAAACTGTCTGTTAATCCTTTTTTAGTACAATGAATCACATTCTGCATTATCATGGCACTTCTATTTTGCACCATTTGGTTCCTTTGACTTCAAATGCAGTTTACTTGCACCTTTTTGTTTCACCTTTGACTTAAAGCTTAATAGGATTAAAGTTATGTATCCTTTTTTCTCCCCATTGGCAGAAGACAGGCAGGATGTTCGGCCCCATATCTCGATTAAAAGATGTGATTGTGGGAGGTCATCGTCGCGGTTCTCTCATCAGAGGCAGCTCAAGTGAGAATTAAGATGTCAACATGGTCCCTTTCGTTGGGAGCAGTCTTCAAACCAATAATCAAGATGATGACGAAAAATGTGAGAGTTGTTAGGTTGTTATATGCTAGTTTGCTGCAGTGTGGTATGCTCTTTTTTTTTTTTTTTGGTTCTTTTTTTTTTTTCCTCTTTTCCTGAACTTCCTCATTTGGCGAAACATGTTAAAAGCTTGATGTTGTAATTTTATTATTTGGTGTTGTATTTCTCTGAATTTGCGTCTGTATAGATTTTAAGTGCTGGCAATAGTTCATTGTTTATCCATGTGAAATGATTAATGCTCCACACGGTTGTTTAAGGGATATATATACGTGTGTATATATATATATATATATAGTGGTTTAAGCTCCGAAGCTTCATTATACTGACAGCTTTTTCGGTGTATGAAAAGTGCGCATGGCACCAAATCCGATGCTTGGTGGTTGACGCTCGAACTGAGCTTCTGGCTATTAGGTGGTCCAAATGAGTGGGAGGTTTGTTGTGGTATCTGTGACTGAATGTTGGTCTACAAATCCACCTGCTCTTTTTGTAGCTTTTAAAGGAGTTTTTTGGTGGCTTTTTCGTTGATTTTATAGTGAATTGACAAGTTGCTCTTTGAATATTTAACTTTGATAAATTACTCTCTTTAGTAAATTACCGCAGGGTGCCCTTAAATTGATGCAGGGTGTTAAAATTTGCAAGATAATGTGAAAATTTCTTCATGCTTGTTACATATAATGCTCGTTATTGTTTGAAATTTCATTCTCGGCTTAAATGAACTCATGTAATGTTTCTTTCTGATTATTAATTGCTCTACAATACTTCGCTAAATTCAAGGGATAATTTACCATAATTATAAAGGGATAACTGGCTAAATATCTGTGGGGAAGTTTTATAACTTTGCCACACCTGGTGTGAAAGACAATCACACATTGCTCCGTTTGTTTTCTTTTTATAGGTTTGAACTACAATTTGAACTTTTTTATTATATTGTTTTTTTAAGAAAATTAAATTTATATTCAAGCTTTATGTTTAAACGTATGGACTGAACCGGATTTACCTAAGCCAACAGAAATTACTGCTTGTTGAATGTTGCCTTGCAAAGCACCTTCCCCAAAGCTTTGCAGTGTTGAGCGATGCTGAAAATATAGAAGCCGCTCAGGGTGGCTCAGCGGAAGCATGTCCTCTTTTCTATATTCATAAAAGAAAAGAAGTCCTTTATTACTTTTGTTTCTCACGTATTCAACGTGCTTCTAATAGATTACTTGCCCGTTACCACCTAATCAAAGATTGAGAGCCAAATAGTACGGAAATAGTAGGGAAATAATAGAAAATAGACCACTATGAAAAGCTTAAGGAAGTATATAGGTCAACTTTTAATTATAGAAATTTATAGGTTAAAACTTGTCAAGTTATAGTTCATAACTAGATAAGTTATGGACAAACTTGTCAAGTTATGGACAAAAACCGTGATTTATGGACAACAGTGCTGAACTTTTAGGCGGCGGGCATGCCCGATGCCCGAAAATTTTTAGGCACGGCGGGCAGGCCCCTCTCGCCGCCCGAAAATGCTTTTCTTCGAGCACGGGCTCCGGTAGCCCGAAAAGAGTAAGCCCCCTGACAGCCCGCCGCCGTGGAGAAGCCGTCCCCTGCCGTTCGCCAGATTTTTTTTGAATTTTCCGGCAATACCCGAAGCTGCCCGAATCTGTGCCCGAATTGCCCGAATTTTTTGTGACCGTTGCCCGAATTTTGGTGACCGTTGCTCGAATTTTGCCCCGTGCCTGAAAAATGCCTGATTTTTTTTTACCGTTAGCCCGAAAAATGCCTGAATTTTGAAAAAAACGGTCTTTTGCCTGAACCCGAACCCGAATTTTGCCCGAATTTGTGAACCCAACGGTCAGATTTTGTGCCGTTGCCCGACATGCCCGATTTTTGCCTGAATTGCTCGAAAATTTTGTAGCCGTTGGACCCGAATTTTTGGGGGAAATTTTTTTTTTTCAACCCAAAAATTTTCCTATAAATACCCCCCCTCCCCCCAACCATTTTCCTCACCCCAAAACTCTCATTCTCTCTCAATTTCTCTTAATCTCTCTCAATTTCTCTTAATCTCTCTCAAATCTCTCTTAATCTCGCTTAAATCTCGATCTCTCTTAAGCTCTCTCAAAGTGCTCTCAATCTCTCTTATTTTTCATAATGGCTTCTTCTGGTTATGGTGGTG